TAAGAAATATACCTTTTATCCTGTCTTCTTCCCAAGCTACTCTCTCTGCTTCATTGTGCGCATAGACGCAACGTTTCCCTTGCCAACAAAGCTCCGGACGACCGTGGTACCTACAGAGACGGTAGGGGCCTCGAGCACCAGGAGGTCTACTTCGGATTCCCAAGCTTTGTTTATTGGAAGACTTCTCGGCTGCTTTCTTCGTTTGACGAGATGACGATTTAGGTTGATCACTGACAATGCCCTGATCGCTGTCTTCAAACGTGGGCATCCTGGGGCGGTAGTTTGTTCTGAAATCCAAATCGCCTGGACAAGTACTAATGCTGCATACACTGCTCGCGTCAGAGTCGTCGTTTAACCCTTAAAAAAATAACAAAAGTTTAAAACTGAGGACGTTATATAAACTAGAAGAGAATGCTGACGGTAAATTCTTTTCCTTTGAAAATGTTGCGTGCACCGCGTAGACCGTAACATTCTGCGGTAATCAAGGACGCCTGACTTGAAATGCACCTGAGACATCTCTTTAGATCCGGCCTGTTTTTCCAAATCCCCATGAGTGCTCAAGGTGTACATCAGGCATTAAGTACGCCTCGCGTTACTTCTTCTGGTTTTCCCAGGAAATGGCTCGCGGACCAAGAAAGAAGGCAACAACAAGCAAACATAGTCAAGAAAACAACTAATCCAACTAATCCGGATGAACTGTGCGATAATGAACTTTTGGTACAACCAAACACTCAGTCTTAAAGCCAAAACGTCTTCCAGTAAAAGGATTCAAAGAATTCTTCGTGGGTCAACAGCAAGAAAACACCGAGTCAGAACCGTAAAGAAAACAAAGCAAGACTTGCGATATAAGTGCTTTCTTCAAGTCTCTGGGGGAAGTCGGGGAAACCAGAGAATCGCAACATACCTTAAAACCGCAAGAACTTCTTTGCGGCTGGATTTTCGAAACGCAAGAACTTTTTTGCGGTAGGGTTTTCAAACCGCAAGAACTTATTTTCGCTAACATGTTAGCACGCGAAAATCCGTATCAAGACAGTACCGTCTTGGCGACGGGTTCTAAAAAACATAACTAACAAACACAACCAAAAACAGAACTAGCGCCGCACTTACCGTAAGAAGTATTAAAACGACAAATTCTTAATTCTTGACAATTTGAACTCTAAAGTTCAGTTCAGACAACGAACTTTTCATGAGCCTAACTTAATTCGAATTTGGACCGATCCCCGGGAATAGCCAAAGAAAAAGTTATGAACGGATGCGCGTTTGATGAAACTTCGAATTCGTTGATCGGCGTGAGCTGCTGTTTACATGTTCTACAAAGCTGTATCTCAATCCATCAAAAGGTAAACAAATACAACAGAAGAAGAAGTTGATTCTCAGCCGTACCGAATCACCCTCTGATTTTGCATCATGTGTACATGGGTATCCCACTTGTATTATCCCATATCCTGTTGCTTGTAAATTATTAGAACAACTGCAGTGAAGAAATAACCAAAAATCTAATTTCTGATAATATTGCTTTTCAGGGAAGAAAATGTTCAAGTGATTGAAGTCAGCTCTGTGAGGGAAAAATGTGTTTATGTGGAGTTACAAGGAATAAGCCATGCTTACATCAGTAAATTCCCAAATTTCATGGAGACAGATTAATGAAATTTACGGTTAGATAATGCTTGGCTGTTAGGTAATGTACTTTATATATATATATATATATATATATATATATATATATATATATATATATATATATATATATAT